TCTCCAGGCATTGGTTCTTCATCTGTAAAGGGGCGTTTGGATCTGACTGCTAACTCTGCTCAGCTTTGACATCTGAATTTATCATGAAACAATCACAGATGTAGTTGTTGTGTTGTGCCTCCAGGAAAGGCAGTGACATCACCAAGGGATCTCACTCACAGTTTTGCTTTTTGTGGGACTGCTCCTGGGGGCATGGGTGGTATGGATAGAACCTGGAATTGGGAAAACCTCGTAGGCCCTACAAATCTAGACCTGGACATGCCCCGCTGGCTCATTCAAGGGACATCTATTCAGCTCCTGTTGTATGCCTTATGCTGGGCTAGGTGTCATGTGATTGTTGTTAATTGTCATCGAGTTGGCTCTGACATATAGCAACCCTGTAAAGGGTTTCCAAGGAGTAACTGGGGGATTTGAACCGCCAACCTTGCAATTCAAACCCATCTTGTGATCTAGTGCTTATCCTACAAGAACCACACCGGGACCCCATATTCTTTGCATTTTGAGTAACTGAGAGTCCCCTATGGGGACTAAGGAAGGTTGGGCTACTTGCTTTAGCAGAATAACCTCTTCCTTGATCTGAAGTGTCTGAACTTAAGGTCACTAAAGTCTGACTTAGGCAGGTCCAAGGGAGAATGGAGGAAACTATCATTTGTTTAAGGAGCTTTGGTAGTGTAGTGGTTATGAATCGGGCTGCAAACCTCAAGGTCAGCAGTTTGAAACTACCAGTTGTTCCACAGGAGAAAGATGAGGCTTTCTGCTCCCATAAAGATTTACAGCTTTGGAAACCCTACACAGGGTCGCTATGAGTTCGAACCAACTCCACGGCACACAGCCACCACACCACCATCACTTCTATCATTCTGTGGTTCTTTCAGACTTTCAAACCTAAACCCTAACCCAGCACTGCCAAGTTGAGCCCTGCTGGGGCAGTGGGTTAAGCTTTTAACCCAAAGGTTAGTGGTCTGAATCCACCACGGGGAAAAAAGCAAGGCAGTCTGCTTTCATAAAGATTTGTTGTTGTTAAGTGCCATAGAGTCAGTTCCGACCCATAACATAAAGATTTACAGCCTCAGAAACCCTGTACAGGGTCGCTATGAGTCGCAACCGACTCCAGGGCACACCACCACCAACACCATCATTTTTTCCTCTGGGCCATAAACCAAGCACTAAATGGAACATTTCCATATTTATTACCCCAAATTGAAAGATGAAAAAGTGAAAACCAGAAGGGCAAAATGGCTTAGTCCAGTATCTAGCCATAAGTACGGGAGCACAGTGGCTCCATAGGATAAATACTGAACTGCAAACCACAAAGGAGGCAGTTTGAGCCCACCAGCTGCTCCGCAGGAGAAAGATGAGGCTTTCTGCTCCCGCGAAGATTTAAATACAGTTGCTCTGAGTTGGAACCAACTTGAGAGACTTAACCATAAGTGACTATTTCCAAAGACCTTTCTAGCCCAACAACAGGCCCTTCTAGACCAAAGATGAGAAGACCAAGGGAAAGGATACTGACTGCAGCAGTGAGGTGGGCACCTTTTTCCCTCTAAACTGTAGGAAGGGTAGACTTTAGGCACTTAGCAGTCCCATTCAAGTAACCTCTAAACTAGAAGGGAATTAAGAATCATCTCAACCCCATCCTGCAGGCCATGAGAGTCTCTTCTAAATTATGAAGTGGCTGATCCTTGGATGCCTTTAATGTCAAGGGTCTTATTTCCCACAAAGACAGTACCTTCTGACTATGGACAGTTCAGATAGGGGTTCACCCTTACACTGAGTTAGAATCTATCTCTTTGCAGCTGACCTGAGGTTTAAAGACTAAAAAACTGAGAACACATAGAGCTAAGTAGCTAATTCATCATCACAAAGTTGGGAAGGAGCAGAGCTCAAGTTTATCTCCAGTTGAGCCTGTGGGGGTACACAGTTTGCCTTTCTTCCAGTCTTCCTATGAGACTGGTTCTCTCCCCACACACCCCATGGGAAACCAGTCTGTCCTCACAGGCTTGGGGCCAGGCCAGGGATGTGGTTGGGATTTGGCTCCCACTTTTTCTCCTCCTTGAATTCAAAGGAAAATCCTTGGCCATTTGCTCGGAGGATTCTGGCCAGAGGGTGTAATCTAAACAAATTCTTCTCAACACCTTAAAGTCTTAACAACACAGCTGGTTTACCATCATCTCTCCGAAACAAAATTAGGCTGAGTCAGTATTCATGTTCTGTCAAGAAAAAATAACTTTCCTTCTTAGTTGAGAAGTTATTCTCCTTGTGCTCTATGCCTGCTGACCTGAGTTTCCATGGCTTCTCTTGTGAGTAAGTGGGGTGATAGGGTAATTGTAATTCCCCACTCTAGCCTGGAATATACTGCAGAAGAGAGGCTCCACAGAGCTCTAGAAAGTACCAGGGCTGGCTGATTCTGACACTAGCTGATACCTGAGCCACAT